ATTAAATCACAGTAGTCAGTGGATTCCAGGAATTAAATCACAGTAGTCAGTGGATTCGAGGGATGAAATCACAGTAGCCAAGGGCTTCGAGGAATTCGTTATATTTTCAGTGAATCTCGATTCAAAGTTAATTACCATGTAACTTTTAGAAACAGATGAGCGGTATATTTACTGTTGGGAGAGTTTGGTTTTCGTTTCAGAACTACAGTAACGTAAAAATATAACTTCCCGTTCATCGTAGCAAAACCTAAAACTAGGCTACTAGTTTTACGTATGTTAATTTTCTCACCAAAACCTGAAAGGACTACACATCTGAAATAAAAACATGTTATAAAGTTAATTTTTCTCCCCAAAACCTGAAAGGACTACACATCTACAATAAAAACATGTCATAAAATTAATTTTCTCACCAAAACCTGAAAGGACTACACATCCGCAATAAAAACATGTCATAAAGGTAATTTTCTCACCAAAACCCATCTAAATCAAACAAATGTTATAAAATGACTTTTTTGTTCTCATCCAAGTAATGTGGTGAAGGAACTCGATTTTCACTCATTTAGTCTGCCAAAGAGAACTCTGACTCTATCAAATGCTCTATTGAGTAAAGATCTTTCAACAGTTGGTTGTGGTATAGCAAATAATACGAAAACTTTAGAAAGCTGAATTTAGTTTGAAACCATATTTTGTATGTGGGCCGGTTTCTAACTGCTCTTCCGGTTTTGGTTTCGCTATTACATCATTGCTTGTAATTCATGGGATGATTATCTGATATCACAGTAGATACCAAGAATATTCTGGTCTTAAAGAGACAGGTACCACCAAGTACACTAATCTCAAAGAGAAGACAGATAACATTAAATATATTGTCTTAAAGAAACAGAGACCAACATATTTGCTGGTATCTGTCCGCCTGTTTAAGACCAACATATTTACTGGTATCTGTCCGCCTGTTTAAAACCAGCATATTTGTTGGTATCTGCCTATCTTTTTAATACCAACATATTTGCCTGTCTCTTTAAGACCAGTATGCTTACTGGTATCTTTCTGTCTGTTTAAGATCAACATATTTTTCAGTATCTGTCTGTTTCTTTAAGACCAGAATATTTGTTGGTATCTGTCTCTTCAAGATCAACATATTTTTTGGTATTTATTTAAAAAGACAAATATAGCAAATCTAAAGAAACAACTTCAGTCAAATAATACATAATAAGCATATCTTAAAATGCAAAATGAAAGAAAAATAAAGAAGAGGGGCTTATATTTTTCGTGTAGTCAATATGATGACAGAAAATCTATGTAGGTCGAGAAAAAAGCAATAAAAGTTTTTATCATGTTTATTTTTTGAAAGTATCAAAAATTCTATCCCATTTATTAGACAAGTTTAACTCTGTATATGCAGGATTTTTCAGATTAACAATAGCTTTAGATCAGCTTTTGGCAATTTCCAGATGTGTTACCAGAAGTGACGTCCACCAAACGTATCTTTCTTTGACACAGATTTCAAGTCTTATCCTAAAATGACCTATGGAACGACTAGTTCGAAGTTTTCTTTGACACACATTGCAACTCCTGTCCTAAAAGGACCTATGGAACGACTAGTTCGAAGTTTTCTTTGACACACATTGCAACTCCTGTCCTAAAAGGACCTATGGAACGACTAGTTCGAAGTTTTCTTTGACACACATTGCAACTC